TGCTTTGCAAAATACAAGAACAGTTAATACGAATGGTATAATTCCTCCACAAGTGGCTTTCTTAACGGATGAATTTACTGAATCTATCTTGGTATAGGCTCATAAACACATCGTGAAAACCAAAAGACAAGACAATAATTAGCTTACAGAAAAGACAATTGGCAAATAAAACTACTACAAAATAAACAGACAAAAACAGTACCTCGTTGGCTGAGTACAGAGAGAGGAATTAGCCTGGATGTTCTTCTTTCTTCTTGTTCTTCTCTTAAACCTTTAGCTTAGCGTCCACGCTTTTAATCGTGCTTCCCTTTTTTTTTTTCGAAAATGAAAATGTGGCAGTTACAAATGGTATTAGTTTAGCAACAGAAATGTTGGAAAATGTACAATTTTGATCTGATGATTGTCTCAGAGGAAAAGTCACCAAAGTTATTACAAATCATCTATGAGAGTAATAATAATAATAATCATGATAATAATAATTTAATTTGTATAGTCCTGCCTGAAAACTGAGTTACAAAGTGCCCAACACCAAAATATCAGATTAGACAAGCAATGAAAACAAATTCAAACAGATGAGACTGTAAACACCATAAAATATTTACGTCGAGTCAAGCCAGCGTTTTTCTAAGAAACACAAACCGAAGTCCCTTCCAGTGAAATAGATTATAACTGGTGTTACGAAAGCAAACTGAGACGACGGAAGAAGACCCTGCTGTGTTATTTAAACTGTTTCAAACCCTACAAAGATTACACAAAACATTGCTTTACTTTAATATGATTAAGGCTGAGCCCTTACGGTGTCAATAATTATGGATAATAACCAAGTTAAAGTAATAATACAGCGAGACAACATCATTTATGTAACCAATATAAATAATGTGGCTAAAATCCCACAGTGTTATCAATTATAGACATGTACAGCTTCTCCTTTTATACTATTTCATGTGTTTTATTGGTATATAATTGTATTTTATTTTTTGACAGCGTAGGTGAACGACTCCCTTGTAACAGACGTCCAGCAGAACCAGGCCCGGGGAGAGCAGCCATCTGCCCCGACCAGCCTGAGTGAGGGCAAAAAGGGGAGAGAGAGAACAAATGAATGAAATGAAAAATACTTTATTCATCCCAGAAGGGAAATTCAATTTCAAGAACAAGATATCTGTGCTGCATTTCAAGCCATTTCATGTTGAAATTACTCTTTTTAGACAAGCCCAGCTCAACTAAACAGAGCAAACCAGAGAAAAGAAGAAACGGCACAAAGAGTTGTTATAGTTCCACGACACATGGCTGCAATGAGAGTTCTAATTTGTTTGATTTACCCTGAAGCAGCACTTCCCTTTGTGAGGTGATGAGTTAAAACGCCGATAAAGGAAGAAAAAGGCACGCATGCTGCATTCATATGTGCTGGACACAAAGACGAGGCTGCATGTCCACGTCCACGGGTTGTTCGGCTGTAAGAGATATCAGGGCGGGCGACGGGGTGAGGTGAGGGTTAAGTCGAGGGGGGTTAACGGGGTGAGGAGAGGATCAGGTGTGTGAGACAGAGGTTGTGAGGGTGTGAGCAGGAGATTGGTTAAATCTTAATGAAGCGTGCTCTGCGGGGCAGGGATGGATGGGACCAGCTGTGTTAGTGTGTGTGTGTGTGTGTGTGCATGAGACAGTAAAACTGATTAAAAGCAGCGTTAACACATCTGACAGGATACAATGGTCAAGAGGTGAGTGGAAACTGGGGGAAGCCTTGGTCTGGAACGATTAGACACACACACACACACACACACACACACAGATGGAAAGTGGGGAAAGCCCTGGGCAGCAGCGATTGGTCACACATGCCCATCGATATCCGAGTAGAACCAATCAGCTCGGCTTCCTGTGTTTGACCTGACCCTTCACGGATGGTAATTGAATATTTCAAATGGGAAGCGGAGAGGTAAAAAGAAGACAAGCCGAGGGGAGGAGGAGGAGGAGGAGGAGGAGGAAGAACGCGTGCTGCCTCATTGTATGAAGGTTTTCCACCTATGAAGCCACTTTAGATAGATAATGTTTCCTTTTGACTGTCTACACTCACAAAAGACGGTTAAACGTGATCTTCAAATCATTGAAAAGAAAATACCACAAGGGATGGAAACAACAAAAAACTGTGCTTGTAAAATAGTTTGTGCTGTACAAGATTATCAAAAAAATTTTTTTATTTTTTATAACACCTACATAACTTTAATCCAATTCTATTCTATAAATATGCAGACATTTATGAATACTTTGGTAACACATTATTCTATGTTTTAAGTTCTTAAAAGTTTCATTTCTTGGAAAGAATTGGCATTTGGGACTTTCTGTACAAGAAAATTGAGATTTCTGTCCAATTTAAACACAATCAGGGTTGAATCTAACAATTATTTCCATCATTGATTAAACTGCAGATTATTTTTTGATGCATCTATTATTTGTTAATTTTTGAAACATGAAAATAAAGTGCAAAAAAAAAACCTAAAAGTCAAAAGTGTGGCAGTTTACAATAAGCTTGCAGCAGTAGATAATCTCATGTGAGAAGTTGCAAATACACAACGTTATTATGAAGTAATTATTGAAACAGCTTCCCCTTATTTTACTTCCAATCACTATTTATTTTTTGGCTTTAAATTAAGGATATACATTAGTCATTTGTTTACTTTTTTCATATTTGTTCTCAACTGTGTGACGTGTAAGTTTTCCAGTTCCTCTCGTTGTCCGCTGTAATAATCACCCCATTAAATAGTTATTTCCTTCAAACTTCTTGGAAATTATTAGAAACTCATCCAGAAGTTATAAATTAGTTCAACCTCAAGAAGATAAAATCCGCTCTTGCATCTTTTCCTGCAGCTCATGACTAACAGTCTGAACACACAGTTTCACATCCTGTGTGTGAATCACTTGAAGGTCCAACCGATCCCCCTCCTCCTGTTGTAATTAGAGCTTTGTTTCACTGAGCCAGCATGTGCAGCTCAGTGAAACAAACTCGCCTCCCTTTTGTGCAGAAGCAGACATGTCGGGCCACGGGGACGAGACCACCAGGCCGCCGGATCCCCGCCTGTCAACAAGTACCGCTCCTCTAGGAACCAGAACGTGGAGGTGTTGATGGCACTGGAGGGGAGAGCCACAAGGTATCAACACCCGACACACACATACGTACACAAACGCAGGGTTTCCCCCCCAACACACACACACACAGCAGCGCTACACAGGAGCCCAATCCTGCACATCTGGTGGACGCATCCCTGCACACATGTTGGGATGCGCACAAGCAGAGAGGAAAATAGGCCATGGCAGACTCTCCCAGCTTTAATCATGTTGAAAGAGAGGAGATGACCATCGGGGGTTAAAAATAGATTGAAAGAAAACTGTATCAGATAGATTGTGCTGCAAAGGGACGAGGAATTTTAATTTGAGACGGTTTAACTCAAAGCAGAAATGACTGACAGCTGCTGGATCACCGAGGTCGGCGGCAAATAGGAACGACTTAAAGAGAGCGTGTGCGTGCTCGAACGCGCCGCAGACAGCCGACTCATCAAAGTGTCTGGTAATAGGCAAAATCGAGACTTGTGTCAGTCTGGGGCCGCTGATGATGATTGTGGATGTAGTTAAGTGTGTGCTGATGATGATTAGGAAGGACACAAAAAGGGTCAGAGGTGGCCGAGTGTCACTCCGCAGAACTCCCATCAGCTGCAGGGCTGCCGGCGTGTTCACGGATAGATATTTGTGTCGGCTCGGACGGCACCTGTAATGGCTCCCAGCTGAGACGTGGGACGTAGTGAACTGTGTGTGTTTGTAATGAGGCTCTGGCATGCGAGCGGCAGAAGGCCGCTTCCTCTACAGGTGACACCTTTGACCTCTCATCTGTTCCCTGTTGGAGGAAAGAGGGGAGGGGTGAAGAAGACTGGAAGGACGGAGAGGCATGTGGCGAAGCGCATATTTCGACGACAACACAGATTTACAAAAAATAAGACAAGCACAATGTGTTAAACTTTCTTTTAATGGCTTTCTGTCTGAGCATATACAGTTAACACAACAGATTTACATACACTTGTGAAGACCACAAAAAAACATCATCCATGTTTGTTCTGTTAGAAATTTGTTATAGATTTTCTAGAAATAGGAGAAAAAAAAATCATACAGCAAATTGAATCATCAGTTCTGGTTGTGTTAACCAAATTTTGGTGGCATGACCGCTTCTTGTTAGTGATTACAGCCGACTACAGCTGCTGACGTCTCTGTGCAAATCTAAATAAGACCCACTCATTGATCCACTCATCAGACACAGCCACAAATACTACAATGGAAAAGTTTAGAGATTAGAGTTTAGATCTGAGAACAGTTCTGAAGAAGCAAATCACTTGAAGTCACTTGGAGCCATTTCAAAGAAGCCACAGATCCCAAAATCAACTGTGCAGACAACTGTTTTTTTAAGTATAAAGTTCATGGTAAAGTTGTGTCACTGCCACAGTCAAGAAGAAAAACACAAACAACTACCTGCTGCTGAGAGACAACTGGTCAGGATGGTCAAGAGTCCACCAAGAATCATAAAAAAGCAGGTCTGCAATGAATTAGAAGCTGCTGGAAGACACTGACACAGCTGTCAGTGTCGACAGTCGAGTGTGTTTTACGTCGTCACGGGCTGAGCGGCTGCCAACCAAGAAGGAAACATTTCCTCCAGAAGCGGCGCCTTAAAGCTCGACTGACGTTTGTTGCAGATCATATCGACAAAGAAAAAGGTCTTCTGGTGGAAATTTCTGGGGTCAGATGAAGCATAAATTTGAATATTCCGTCACAATGCCTAGAAATATGTTTGGAGGAGAGGAGTTGAGGCCTTTTACCCCAAGAACACAAAAACTACTGTCCAGCACGGTGGTGGCAGTATCATGTTCTGGGGCTGTTTTTGCTGCTAGTGGGAATGATATAAGTAAATAGAATAATGAGAAAGATTCTTCAGGAAAAACCTAAAATCATCAGCCAGAAGGATGAATCTTGGATGCAGTTGGGTTCCAACAAGACAATGACCCCAAACATACATCAAAAGTGGTAAAGAAGAGACTAAACCAGGCTAGAAATATGGTTTCAGACTGACCTCCACAAAGTCCAGACTCTGAACCTGTGGGCTGTGATGAAGAAACAAGTCCGCGTCAGAAAGCCAACGAATTTAGTTGAACTGGACAGAAGCTTGTGGACGGCTTCCAAAAGCATCTAACTGTGCTGAATATGGGCCATATATTAGCATTGCTGTATGGATATCGTTGACCAACAGATTTTGTCATATTTCCAGAAGACTTATAACAAATCTCTGAAATGCGTGATTGTTTTTTTGTGACAAAGACACACATGTTCCAATCATTCCATCACAGATAATTATAGTTTTAGGACCCAAAGTTTTAGGAATCATTGGAAACTCAAGACCATCACGGTGTACATGGTCTTTACAAGTGTGTGTAAACTTTTGTTCACAACTGTGAGAAGTGTGTGGTCAACCCCGAGAGCGATTACATGAAGTAAACTGCTAATATTTCAACTCTCTCCAAGGCAACGGGTTACAGTGAGGCCTCTTTCTGAGTAAAATATACAAAAGACAATATAAGTTTAGGTAACAACAGTGCAGCCGAAACTGGAAGCAAAACAGAGACGGGCAAGAAGTCTCCACATCCTCAGCCATGCAAAAAAAGACAATACGGTTACTGTAAAAGCATGCCCTCATTGATATAAAGTCTGACAATAAATAAATAAATAAATTATTACACAAATAAATAAATAAATAAATAGCTCTTTGCATTGTATACATACTGCATAACAAGTTTGGAATGAGGTATTAGCTGTACACAATACACAAGTATTATTTTCCACCAACTGTGACAATTTAGAAACAAATACCAGCAGAGTCCCGTCGCTGAGCTACATGATAATAGATGCATGTACAAGAAGAGTGTGCAAATCAACAATATCGTGGAGTAATGTAGTTAATATTTGGACTGTAAACATTCTTTTCCGGCATAATAATTGCATTTCTCCGAAGAGACCAAACCTGGAACACAGAGGGCGCAAAGCTTGCAGGCACAGTGCATCAGTTTTTTTGTTTTTTTTTTAATCGATTCTCCGCTTTTTCTTATTCACTCCCTGTGTCTCCTTCCTTCTTTTCGTCTCCGTCCTTTTCTCATCCAGGTTATTATGATACCTGGTCTCGCAGCCTGGACAGCCTCTGGGAGAGTTCGTCCTGATGCCAACACAAAAGACAAAAAAAAAAAAAAGAGTTAAATCAGGAAAGATCTGAAAATGGAATTAAAATAAGATAAGATGAGGTAAAACTTAATTCAAAGAAAACTCCTCGTGTCAGGTTCTGCTCAGAAAATGAAACGACACAACATGAGCAATGCAGTGCCTAATAGAAAACAAATAGGATATAAATGTGTTGCATTACTCAAAATATAAATGAACAAGCTGAGCTATGACTAGAATAGAAAAAGGAAAACATAATACTGGCAGTGATAGTCAGGCAGTAAAGTTATATCAGACATGATAATTAAATTCTGCACCTAAAATTGAAATATGACACATGAATAATGCTTTCGTCTCATAATCAGGGACAGTGCAGTCAATATATTGGGATTTTTTCTCTCCTGAAATCAGAATATAGTTAAAAAAAAGCTGTTAAATCTATGACATTAGCAGGAAATGTGAGGTTTTGTGAGCTTAGAGAACGACTGCCTTTTAAAACTCCACAGATCTCTTTCTTTCATTAAAGGATTAGTGACTATTAACTGGCAAAGATCACAGCAAATCCTTCTCGGATTACTAAAGGTTTCAAGTCTGCTTAAGAAAAAACCTGCACTTGTCAGTGAAGGAGGAATCGTCACTATTAGAACCTGCACACTGTACATAATCCAAGCTCCTTACAGCCACCGTTTTAAAACTACAAATGTTTAAGAGCCACTCCTCAACCGTACTGAACGTGAGTCGCTCAAACATCGCTTTAAATTCTTGCGGTTGAGGCGACGGTAGTTCATGTGTGCTAATGAGACTGCCAAAGAAGCTAAAGATAATCCTGTTCTGGGATGTAAAACACTAAAAACAGCAACAGCATAGAGACAAAAGTTAATGTGTTACCTGCTCCGTTGTTGCCACAGATGAAGCCAGTGAGGAAGTCTGGCCTGGAGGAAGCTCCAGGTTGAGATCCAACCTAAAAATAAAGGAAGGGAAAAAAAAACAGGAACAGTTTCAACGTGATTTCTGCTCATCTGTTAGAGAAAAACAACAAAATATGGGATAAGAATGTCACTCTGACCAAAGAAAGCACTGTAGCACTGTAGTATTATTGTTAATGGACTTTTTGTATTAAAATGCAGCCTTGTAAACTGTGAAAAAGGTGCGTTCTTGATTATAAATGAAATTAATTTATAATCCCTACATATTTAACATAATTCAGCCTGAACACAGACACTGTTCCAAACTACAAACACTTTAAATAAAGCTTTAAGTAAAACTTGTATCGTTTCTTGCCAGTTTCATCTTCGTATTTAAATTCTTTCTTTATTGTGTTCTTCAATAATCCCCTTGCTGTTGTCATTATTGTTATTTGTGCTCTTGGACTGTTTGGATATCTCACCCTGCTTCATCAGCCATCTCGTGCAACAGCATATCCACTTCATTCTAAGGCAGAACAAGTAAATTAGAGTTAAAAACACATTTTTTTAAGAGGAAAAAATAGGCAATTCTTCATTTGTAAGCAGCAACAAGAGCATAGCAGTTTTGCCTTGTTGGGAAACACCAGTGTTCGTTACCTGAGGTGTTGTCAGAGTGGTGGTGCTGCTCATGGTGTCCTCCATCTGAGCCGTCTGCACGTCAAGAGTCTCGAACTGGTGCTCAAATTTGTCCATCAATGCAGAGATCTGTGCAGAAAAACATAGTAAATAAGCTATGTGAAGACATTTTATTTAATGTTGTGGTGTAGTATATATGGATTAGCTTTTTACCTTCTCCAAGTTCATGCTTTTCAGCGTAGCATCCATAGACTTGACCACTCCAGACATGGATTTAGACACCTGGGCAGAAATTACATACAAATAAGTGCTGAAGCTCTTGTACGTTTTTCTGTGTGTGTTTTTTTTTTACTGCTCTAATTTGTTGTCATCAAAAAAGCAGGCATTTGAAGTCAGATGTTGACATGGCGAAGCTTAAAGTGCTATGTCCTGATGTGTCCACTAGGTGTCACTTTAACCTTTTTAACTCTACTTTGCCATGACTACCTCTCATCCGAGAAGCATCCCTAATAGTTCGAGGATGACTCAGATTAAGAATTAATCTTGTGAAAACCAACCTAGCATTACTTCAACAAGCTATGCTAAATAGGTTTATTATTAATACCACACATTTAATATTTCATGAGACAGCCAGCGGAGGTGCTAGGATGTGTTTTTCAACTGAACAATCTCACACTCTCCTGCCGTTCCTACTATTAAGCTCTATTATGTGAAATGGTTCCTCTTCTACGGTGAACTTGAATTAAAGCAATTTTAACGAGGCTGTCAGTCTCACAAGAGCGAGAAGCTAATAGCGTAAAGTGTGAAGCACATCTAATGATATTATAGAATTGCGTCTTTTTGTTTGCTTGTCTGCTAGGTCTTTTTTTTTTTTTTCGCAGAGTGGCTGCACTCTGTAACTACTAACCTTCAGGAATAAAATGTACTTTTCAAAATGTAGTGACTGAACACTACACACAGTAAATTATGTGGTAACGAGCACATCCGTGTCTTTTGAAGATAAACGAGGGCTTGTTATTGTAGGTGCTACAATTAAACTCTGAAATCTGAGATAAAATGTATAGACACAATACAGTATAAAAACTACACGTTGCACATAATTAAACCGTTTATCTAAAATAATATCTGACTAATAACTACTATCAGGTTAAACTCACATAATTACTGCATCTGTGTCGGTAAATATGGTGGGTTTTCGCAAAGGTGTCTAACAAGGAGGCAGCTGGGTTAATAAAGAGGCTGCAGCTATAGAATCTGCTGCTTTTTAGAAATTACAATGTTGGACCTTGACAATGAAGTGTAACAGCCCCACATTAAATCCATCAGGGAACCTTTGTTGCCCTTCTCTTGCTCTTATTTCCATTCGTCCTTCTACTCTCACCATCTAATAGAGCCAGAAAACACCCAATGCAGCAAGATATATGCATTTATAGGCCACAATTACATGCCATTAACTTTTTGTCTCCTCTCTCTAGTAGTTTGTTTTTTGTCCTCTCTGTCCTCCTCTTGCTGTATTTACAGGTATCTCTAGCTCCAGAGCTGCACGCTTCTAAAACATCCAACCTGTTTTTATTATTCTCTTGTGTGTTGTTTGTCTGTTTTTCTCTCTTGTGTTTCTCCCCTTTACCTCTCACCCCAACCAGTCGAGGCAGACGGCCGCCTTCCCTGAACCTGATTCTGCCGGAAGTTTCTTATCTTATTTTTCTGACAGATATTCTAATTCGACTTCTGATATAGGGCTCAGTGCTTAGCACTGTTGCCTCGCAGCTAGAAGGTCGCTGGTTCACGTCCCGGTGAGGACACCTGGGATCTTTCTGCGTGGAGTTTGCATGTTCTCCCCGTGCAGCGTGGGTTCTCTCCGGGTTCTCCGGCTTCCTCCCACAAAGTCCAAAAACATGTTGAGGTTGATTCTAAATTGTCCGTAGGTGTGAATGTGAGTGTGCTTGGTTGTCTGTCTCTAAGTGTAGCCCTGTGATAGACTGGTGACCTGTCCAGGGTGTCCCCTGCCTTCACCCTAAGTCAGCTGGGATAGACTCCAGCCCCCCTTGACCCTAGTGAGGATTAAGAGGTGTATAGATGATGGATGGATGGATGAATTTGTGATGTAATTTTTAAAGTTGAGCTTCATTTCAATATTCACCATGTAATAGATGTAGAACATGTGACTGAGCATTTACAACATGAGGTATCATTGAAGTGCAACTTTCACACGTGGAGGACATCATGAATTTGTAAAATCACTGCAGCTTTTTACATTTTAAACTCCTTCTCAGACATGATGCATAACCTACATCTGGATTTGTTCAAACCTAATGCAAAGTGCTTGCCTAAAAGGGATTATTTCTTTTCATCAACAGAGTAACTTCTTTTTTTTTGGAGATAGTTATACTATGTGTAATATATAAACATTTTAAGGTAAGAAATCTCATGTAGTTATCATAGTTGTCTTGAAAAATGAATGTGTGGTTGCCGTATAAAGCTTAGGTGTGCTTTTCACAGGCACCTGCTTGACATAACACGAGAAAGCAGGGGAGGGCTTCTCCAAACCATTGACCCGCAGCCCTGACCTGGTTCATAGTGACAGCAGTCTGGACCCTTGAAGCCACCGCGTCCACACGAGCGCTCATCCTCAAGAAGTTGATGGACTGGTGCTTCTGACGGATGGCGTTCTCGGCATGGATCCTGGCTGCCTCCATGTTGCCCTTCTGGATGGCCTGAGAAACAGGGAGGTACATGTACACATGACACATGAGCTGCAGCCCCCTTTTTTTAAAATCCAGCCTTTAATACATCCAGAATTCAACAAGCCAACCTGCTTCACTTTGTTTTTTTCGGACTTTTCCTCTTTGTCACATTTCTTTGAGTTGCGTTGGAGCTCCTTGGCAGCAAACTTGAGGTTGAACAAGTGTTCTGTACATCTAGTTAAGGGATGTCAGTGTTAGTCCATTCAAATAATATGCTAATATGCCTAATGATATTTAGCTACTTAAGTCAGTGCATGCATGAGCGTTTTCTCAAACTAGGAAAAGTCACATTTGTAAGACACAGCTGTCAGTGTTTTCCTTCATCATTGAGCAGAAGTTAACAGAGCTAGCTAGTTAGCTTTATGACTAGCTACACCTGCTGCTATTCAGATGTATCGACCGTTAGCCTCCACAGCAAAGGATACTCTCCATATTGGACATGATGAAGGCCTCTTTCTCTCTCAGTTTGGTTGTACTCAGACACAAAGCAGCATCCAACCGCTAGCTTATTTCCAGAGTTGTTTGTTTTGATTTGTCGAGGCTGTGTTAGCTTGTATAGCTGATCAAGATGACTCCCTTGCGTGCACTTCCTTATTTGCTTAAATTCAGTTAAGCCGAGTGGCAGCGATGCGTTTGTAGAGCTGAGAAGATGAGTGCATCTCGGTATTTGTTCCCTTGGGAAAAATTTTATTTGATATGCAGGTTAAAAAAGCTTAGTCATTAAAGATGATAAAGTGTTGAAAATTAAGCCTTGTATATTACGCATGCGCAGAAGAGTAACGCGGAAGTGGCGCTGATTTCACGAATTTTCCTTTAATATTTTTCGGAGATTTTGGATTAAATGCTGATACTATTGGGTAATTATTGATTAATAAACCAATATCAGGGAGCTACGTTTATGTACAGTTTATTGTCTTTATGAATACGCTGAAAATGTGACAGGACCTGTTTACTTTGTCAGGCGGGAATTATCTTAATGTCTGTTTATCTTTGAATGAGACGCGTTCTCCGTCGTCACACACGATCACGATTTGGCACCGGCGTGCCCGCGGCTCCTACGTCACGGCCGTCGGTGAAGTGGTCGGGCGCGCGTGTCCAAAGCAGACAAGTTCCACTGAGGCTAAAAATAGTTTGTACCCGGTATCGGTGGATCGTGGTACGCGTCTAGTGACGTCATTTGTGCTTTTTTAGCGAAGGAGTAAATTGACCTTTTCTACGGAGCCGCTGCGTGTTTGCTTTCACTCTTGTTTCCTCCGCTTTATCTCCGATGCATTAACGAGCCTGCAGGCGGGTTTTATTTTTATTTTTTTATTGCGGTGCAAAGAGAGAGAATGGCACCAGTCTGGACTGGTCTGTCAGCTAACACCTACCTACACAGAGGGATTTAGTGGAGGAGACGGGCAAAAAAAAAAGAAAAAGAAAAAGAAAGAAAATGCAGCATGAAGAGGAGGAAGAGGAGGAGTGGGGGGTTAGGGTAGAAATAAAAAATAAAAAAAACCCGGCTCCGGTGTGTGCCTGCACCGGCCAACCGAGCAGGGCTCGGGCCGGAGGGGGGATTAACAGCTGGGTCGGGGAGGGAGCAGCGCGGATGACTCATACTGTATCTGCTGACACTTTCTATGGACACGGCATAGGATATAATGATGCTGGCGTGAGGCAGAATGAAGTGCATGAGAAGTGTTTAAAAAAATGTTCCACAAAACCATATATATATATATAGTCTATTTATGTAGCAGGGTCCATCTGAGGTTTGTGACAAAAGCCCAGAAGTCCTGGCATCCAGCCCTGCACATGGGGTAACATTTGAGGCAACGTGGTTGAACTCACAGTATAAGATAAACACGCAAGAATCAGACTCATTCTATTGCCAAGTTGGTTTTCTTTTTACTTATTTATTGTTCTTGTTCATGAATTGCTGTAACACAGCACATTCTCCTGCTATGGGAATAATAAAGGCTTATCTTATATCCTATCTGACATACAAGGAAAGAGCACATACCAATTTATATTTCCTGTTTGTTTCCTGGTGATGCTCCCTACACATTTGCACTATTTGCTGCCGCAGATTTCACAGCTGTGGGATTAATATAGGCTTATCTTGTCATATCTTATCTTACATACCAGGGATTGTGTTTTGGTGCAAAGCAGTAAACACTGACAAATAGAACATTTATTGCCAAGTAGGATTTACCTTTACCTTACGTGTTTATCTTGTTCTTGTTTATGGAAGTGTGTTCGCAGTATCCTCCCTTTTACTGCAAATTTCCCAGCAGTGGTATTAATAAAAGCTTTTCATATCTTATTTTACATGAGAGGAACTGGACTTCGTGTTTTGATTCATAACAGAAAACAATGACGAGTTCAATAAATTTCAGAATGATAATAAAAGACTGCAAGATAAATGAGAAACAGGGGTTACAAGTCCAGTGAAAAGCAAGTGTGGTCCTTTAGTTCTACATATCCATATGTACATGTCACATATGTCATCTGTACATGTGAAATGTATATATAGTTTTTATTCCATCTTTATTTTTAGCCTTTTTTCTTGTTTTGTTTCGTCAGTTGTGTCTGGCAACGTGTACATCTCCCCAGTGAGAAATCTATAAAGTTTATAGGTGCAGCTGCATTTAAGTGAAACAGCTGTGAAGATTACCTCCTGGGAGAGTGCAAAACCTCACAGTGTGTGTAGTACAAACTATTTAAAACGTGCCAAAGGATACTAAAAATAATCCAATAAAGTAGGTGATGAGTAATTCCGAGGCTCAGCATAATAGTCAGGTTCTGAAACTTTTCTTTTCTTTTTTGGTCATGCCTTTTTTTTTTTTTTTTTTTAAAGAGATAGCTGGAAGAAGACAGATGTTATTGACTTGCACCAAACGTCCATGACCTGGAATCGAACCCGTGCCGCTGCAGCAGAGACTTCCTTCTTTCTCTACTTTGATTTATTTATCTATCTATGCCCCCTCCCAAAAAAAAAAAGAAAACACAACTCTTTCATGGGCGCACACACACTGCTGCACACTTTACGCACGCGCACGCGCTCACACGCACGCACTCCCCAGTCATAAGTGAATGACGGCAGGTCGCTATGGAAACTGCGTTACGCTCCGGGCGGCCGGAGGAGAAAACAAGAGGCGCGAGGACTCGTTTCATTCTTCATTTCAGCACCACGCGCCTCCCGGACAGCGCCCGAATGAACCCGAGCGCAGATTCCGGCGTCGCATGTCTTCTGATAAGGGACGGAGCCGCCGCAGCAGCAGCAGCAGCAGCAGCAGCAGCACCGAGGACAAGCAAACCCACGGACACGACACGAGAACTCCCCGGACCTGTAGCTCGGTGGATACGCCAGGTCTGATTCGGCAGACGAGCCAGGAGCCGCTCGCTCCCTTCAAATGCCACAGCAACAGGTAAGAAGCTCCTGGTTTAGTCCCGGTGCTCTGAAGTGCGAATGCCCTGTAGCCTGTCTGCTGCTTAATTGCGGTTAATTGCTTCCATTTGGCATCTCAGGTGTAAGAAAGTGCATGATTAGGTGATTAGAGTGAAACCCAGCAGGACCTCTGGGTTAATTCCAGTAAATTCTAAGCGAGGATGGACCGTGAAACTGTGCAAGAGCTGAACTCTAACATCCAGCAGGTGGTTGCTTCATCATTTTTATAGCCAATAAACTTGAGCATTTTTATTTCTATTTTTATTTATTTTTTAGAATTTCTGCTCATTTTGCATCTTCCACTGTGGCACCAATCCCTGATTTATTCCCTCCTATGCAACTATTCATGCATCATAGTTGTACAAGTGAAGAAAAGTACCATCTAAGCACTGTGCATGAATCCAAAAAAATATAAAAGAGCCACTCTGCCAATATTTTCTACACACAAGACAGATTTGTTTGTTTTTCTTGTGTGCAGCTCTCCAGATTTCTCACCCAAGACAGCCACCAAAGTTTACAGAGCATTATTGTTTGTGTATAAGACAGCCTCAGATTTGCTGTTTTTTTTTTCTTTTTTTTCATCCAGTGGCCATAGATTATGTGCGAGCTGAGCCGATACGCCTGGATGAGTCACTCAGGCTGCAAGTTTGCAGAACAGTGCGAAAGGGGAGGGGGAGATACAGGGGGGCCAGCTGGAAAACAGTCCCGCAGTGCCTCTCTGCCTCCTCAACACATTGTTTCGGTGTATTGTTTTTTAAATTCTTTTGCTATGATCAACATCTGGAACTTTATTTATCACCTCTGGATGTGTGATTATTTTGGGACGCGGGCAGGGGGTCTCATCCGGAGCCGTCTTTGTTCTCAGACTTCTGGTAAGCATGCTCAGCTCTTTATGAATGAAGAAGCTTTATGTAGTAAGAGAGTAGCTTTGGTGTTTGCTGTAATGCATGCAGCATAGATTAGAGGAATCCTAAACACCCCCCAGTAACAGATTGTTTGTGGTTGTTACAGACTACAGCCCTCTGATGTCTGATGCCAGAAAGCATCCCATTACTGCTCATTAGTATCCCTGTGTTTAGCCGGCTGGTATTGACAAATCATAGCAATCAGCAGCATTCAGCTGTAGCACTGAGTGACAACTATTGATTAAAGCAAACAATAGATCATAATGGGCTGCTATGAACCATAGTTGCACACTCAAACACGAGCACTCACTCCCCGAAAACACTTTGACAGGCGCCCACAATCACACACTCAATCACATCACAGAGACTGCTCGGACCGACTCTGTTAGGCAAATGCTGTGTGGCTTATTGAAAAATGTGTCTCGTTTGTGCGGATTGATTGATGAAGTCTTGATGCTCTGGAGGCTGTAACTGCCGGGAGGATTGCACGTGTTAAAGGCAAACAACAAAAATAATAATTGGCTGATATTAAATTCCTCTTTGTACCAATTTGCCTCGCAATATTCAGGGGTGTTACATAAAGAAAAGAAAAAAAAAGAAAGCAACTCCGGTGAGCGTGTGAAGGAGTCACTGTTTGTAATGTACACACACATCATGTGCTGCACACACGGACACAAAAACAGATGTGCGTCTTTAATTAGTGACGTTGGTGTGATTAATGCAGTCTGCTGGTGATGACTCATTCAGCTTAACCCTTGCTCCTCTGGTGGAAACAATCAATAAACAAAGACTCAGTGTGCCTTTACATGTATTATTCTCATCCTTATCATTTCACACAATATTTGAGTAGTTTTTTCTTTGCTCTGCTTTAAAAAAAAAAAAAAGAAAGAAAAAAAAAACCTGCACTGGATCTTGATCGAGCTGTTCTGTCCGACTGAGGCTGAGTGTAAATGAAGTGATTTAATAATGTGCTGTAAGTCGGGGCTAGTAAATGTTGTAATATGTTTCAGACTTCACAACTCCAGTCAAACACGTCCTCATAATTAGTTGTGATCTGTTGTGAGCAGTAGAAGAATATTTATGCAAAGCACATCTACGTGGTTTTGCTCCATGTGTCAGCTTGTCAACACAGCAGTTACATTAGCATTGTGGAAAAGCTGTCAGCCAAGCTGTGACTTACAGACGGCAGACTGGCAGGGAGTGTGCATATGAGTGTGACTGAGTGCAAAGCACATGTGTGTGTGTGTGTGTGTGTGTGCGCGCAGGAAAGACTCGGAGACAGTTAAACACATATTTGTTGTAATAAACTCTCATTGTCATCCTCCTTCAGGGCACCAGCATGTCTGAGAGGAAGTCCAGTCAGCGGTTTCACAGCCTGAACGCCGAGCAGGTGGAGGTTCTCCATCAGGTTCTTTCGGAAGTGGTTCCCATCCACGGCCGCGGGAACTTTCCCACATTGGAGCTGCGTCCTCGAGACATCATCATAGCCGTTCGAGCCAGGCTGCAGAAGCAGGGGATCACTGTCAGAGATGTCCGTCTGAACGGCTCCACGGCCAGCCACGTCCTCGTCCGAGACAACGGAACCAGCTACAAGGACCTGGACATCATCTTCGGGGTGGAGCTGCCCAGTCAGGAGGAGTTCCAGGTGCGGTTACTGTACTGTATTGATTAGCATTTATTCAGTTATAACATCCTTAAGCACAGCATTGAATATTTACTCTCTCTGGGGTGTTGCAGTATTGATTTCTCTGATGCTATTTTGAAAATGATATTATTGTAACCCAAACCGTAATTCGATTTCAGAATGCTTTACCTTAAGGGCGGATCAATACAGCTGGTTTTGATAGTTCAGCTGCATCATATGGAAAACTAAACCACAGTAGCGTCACAATATTCAATAACACAAGCAAAATTGCTCTCAGATTGCAGTCATTAGTTGTCGCTGTCATGCTGTTGACCTCTCGTCCTCTCAGGTGATCAAAGAGTCGGTGCTGGGCTGCCTGCTGGAATGCCTGCCGGCTGGAGTCAACAGGGAGCGGATCAGCAGCGCCACAATGAAGGAGGCCTACGTCCAGAAAATGGTCAAAGTCTTCAATGAGCACGACCGCTGGAGCCTCATCTCTCTCTCAAACAACAGCGGCAAAAACCTGGAGCTCAAATTCGTGAGCGCGCTCAGGCGGCAGTTTGAGTTCAGCGTCGACTCCTTTCAGATCATTCTGGACCGTCTCCTAGAGTCCTACATGCAGCAGGAGTCGCAGCACAAAATGAATGCTGTTGATCTGAAGGACCAGCCCGCAGAGAGTCAGAACAAATGCTTGTCTTTTCTGCAAACTCAGACCGCCGCTCCAGAAGCGGAGAAGCCCACAGACTTATGCAGCGAAGAAGGGGCTCAGATCAGTCGGACGCAACAGAAAGACGAGGTGCACGTAAAGGAGTCTCAGGCAGACGTCTCACAACAAAGTGAGAATTCGAACCAGACAAAAGACTCCATACTGGAAAAAGACAACAAAGAGGAAACACCTGCAGAGTTGACAGAAGTGTCAGAGCACAAAGGAAACTCAAGTGAGACAGACCAGACTTCTCTAAACCTTTTGTCAGAAAAGAAACAAACCTTTGAGGAAGCAGAACCACCAGCTCAGATTGAACTCAGACACGAGCCAGAGCTCTTGGACGAAACTGAATGCTCAGCGAAGGTAGAACATTCAGAGCAGACAAAGCCCTGCGATGGCCAACAACCAGCACATTCGAGTCACAAGGAACTCTCTGTCCAGAAAGAACCGTCCAACCACACGAAACCCCCCGACGAACAGCAAGAACTCACAGAGCAGATGGGACCGCCTGAGACGCCAGAAACCTCAGACAAAACCCGGGCAGAGTGTCTAAACCTGACAGACGAATCTCGCAGCACAGAGCAATCTGATAAAACAAATTTATCCGAGGGTTTCAGAGAGCATCAGAGAAGCAATGAGGAAGATAAAATTCAACATGTGTCTGCTCCAGACGCTAGCACGTCTTCACATGCAAAGATAGAGACGGAGTTAGAGGATGAAGGAGAAGCAGAAACAGAGCCCCGGGATGAGATACAGGCAGAGAGGAAAAATGACACAGAGACAAGCGAAGAGACTTTAGCATTAGAAGCAAAACATGTAGAAGACACACAGGGTATTGATTGTTCCTGCTCCACCTCTTCCACTCTCACACTTTGCAACACACAGCCTGCTGGCACACAGGATACACTGGAGACTCACAGCACACAACACACGGATAACTCAGAAAAAAAACCCAACGCGCTCGATGCTGTCAGCCCTCCAGATACTCAGGATACTTTACCTGCACCACCCAGCCTTGTTTCTGACAAAAAGACCTCCTCGTCTCCCTCCTGTAAGGCCTCAGAGAGACTATCTCACATGGTGGTGCTCAAACACTCGTCGCCCAAACCCCCTCGGAGGATGTGCAGAAAGGTCGCACCAAATCCGTACCCCAGCCCACTCTCTGAAAGCGAACTCGCCATCGCGCCCTGTCTAGATCCAAACCTCTGCCCCGGCCCTGAAGCTGAGATAGCCTTTAGCCCTACAGCTACCCCAACAACCAGTATCTTGATTGAAACAAATTCTGGTCCCGACCCTTCCACTGACCCATCTTCAAACCTTGATCTTACCTCAGCTCCTGATCCAGCCCCTGATATAATCTCCACCTCCTCTGTGGATCCCATGTCTGCTCTACCTCAAGAGCCATCGTCCTCTCAGCTAATCACAGAGGGTTCGTGTGAAACGAGTCTTCAGAGCCTAGAAGAGGCAGCAACCACACATGAGGCTTTTGATGAGCAAAGCCAGCCCTCGCCGACAGAAACTGCCTCTGCACCCAAACAATCAGAGCCTCTCGACTCAGCGGACCCGTCCAGCTCCAACACCCAAGAACATACCTCAGAAGCTCAGCTCAGTGACGAAACCAGAACAGAACAGACCAAAAAGGTGGACTCGAATCAGTCAAGCATCAGTCCACGAGAGACCACACTCAGTTCGCCCTCCTCCTCCCCCCACTGCGTCACCCCTCCTGTTTCCTGCCTCACCCCTCCCGTACTCAGCCTCTCCCCTCCTTGCGTCATGCCGTCGCCCCCCAGCCTCAGCCCTCCCCCGTGTCTGACCCCTCCATCTCACTGCCTCTCGTCTCCGATGCTCAGCACCATCAGTCCTGCCACCAGCTTCAGCTCTCCGCCCTTAAGTTTCAGCCCGACTTCGTCCTGCCTCAGCTCACCTTACCTCACCCCCCCCATGCTCAGCCTAAGCCCACCCCCGCTCTGTCTCACCCCGCCTTCCCCCTGCCTCAGCCCTCCCCTCCTCTGCCTCACTCCGCCGGTGGAGTCGGAGGACCTTGTACCTCAGGTATCTTCAGACTTGGAGCCTTTGATACTGAACACAGACAGCGATGAACAGATAAAAGAGTCCTCCCCTCAGCCAGGAGTTCCTCTCTTACAGTTGGAGGATAAAAAGGAGCATGATTATATCTCATCGTTGCCTCAGGTTGCTGAGCCTGTCTCTTTTCCAATCACAATCCCAAGCTCCACCTCACATGCGCTGCCTCACACGCAGTCTGGAGGCCCCGGGGAATCTGCCCCTCCAAAAGCTGTTGAGGCATCCAGCTCTCTGCCTGAGAACAAAGAGGCCCCCGAGGTAACCACAGACATGCCTGAACAGTGCGACACTTCTCGGGCATCTGACTCAGTCCCTGCTGTCGAGGTTCTGGCAGAGAGCATGTATGGTGACTTTGAGGCAGCCATGGACCATCTGCGCTACCGCCTGATCGCTACCAGGAACCCAGAGGAGATCCGGGGCGGCGGTTTGCTGAAATACAGCAACCTGTTGGTCAGAGATTACCGACCGGCCAGCGAGACTCAGATAAAGACACTGGAGCGCTACATGTGCTCGCGCTTTTTCATCGATTTCCCCGACGTGCAGGAGCAGCAGCGCAAGATCCTGTCCTACTTGAAGAACCACTTCATCGGCGAGGAGAGGAGCAAGTACCAGTACCTGATGACGCTGCGTCGCGTTGTGGACGACAGCACGGTGTGTCTGATGGGACACGAGAGGCGCCAGACGCTGAACATGATCACGGTGCTGGCGCTGAAGGTTCTAGGAGAGCAGAACATTATACCCAACACAGACCATGTGACGTGCTTCTACCAGCCTGCCCCGTACCTTGCCGAGCACAGTGCCCCCTACCTAGCAGAACCCAGCTACTGCAGCTACTACATACCACAAGGGGGGTCGACTCTGCTGTACCAACCATATCCATTACACCTGCACCCGCAGACTGGACTCGTCTAGCATACGTATATTTACATAAAACACAAAAGTGAGCAAGGGCATGGTGCTTGCCATGAAGAAAGAGCTGGAGAATGGAAATCTAATCCAGGGATACACTGTTTGGTCTATAATAGACCTATGGGGGTGGGATTGAGTGGGTTTTTACAGTAAACTCCCCAACAACTCTGTAAGGTTCTAACATGATTATATGTAATTATCTAGGCTTTGTGGGAAAATAATAATTCTTCCGATATTGTTAAAATTCCAGATAATAATGCTGTATGCACTGCATGAGTCATAGGCCTTTGGTCTCCCTGGGAAACCAACAGCGCTGTTGACATTCACACACATGCACAGACATACAAACATGCACGCACGCACACACACACACACACACACACACACATGCGCAAACACACTTCCAGGTTCTTGAATTCTTGTACACTCTTGTCATGTTCTTACTGTGTTGTTCTTAATGGGTTTGTTCAGAATGTGGACTTTGCCTGTGGTTGATATTGTGCATGGATAAATTAGGACTGTTCTCTCACTGCCAAATACTGTGTGACTACTATGCTTCTTAAACAGTTTAATGTAACTTTGTTATTCCTTTACTGACGGGGAGGGGGGGGTGTATTTCTGAAAAAAAAAAAATACAGAGGGACAAGTCTACCAGTGTGTACAGTATTTTCAGCAAAACACACACAAGCATGCACAACATATACACACACACACGTACATATGCACACATGCAAGCAGACATGTGATACTGTATGCACACAAAGTTAGACAATGCATGAGTAGCTAAATAGATCACATCCTACAGTCGAAGCAAAGGCTTTTAATTTATTAAAATGGATCTATTTTTGCAAGACTTTCCAAGATAATACTCAGTGGTAAACAGACTGGTTAGTTGTTACAGAAAAATGCCAACAACATTGCCTTTGGAACAGACTGTACAGCGTATTGATTACAGTATATTGTGTGCGATTACACTGCATTGTTTTCAGGTAAATTGTGTTAAATTGTACTGCTTGATTCCTTTCCCTTTTGTGGAGTCCTTTCTGTAATCATGTGAAGTATTGTATCATCTAGTGTTAATTTATTTAATGCTAAAGTTTACTCTGTGGAGGTGGTCAGGTTCTAACCATCTTTGGGTCATCTCTAAACATGGCGCATGCAGATCCGCCTGAACCGAAGGAATTACATTTTAAACCCCATACGACTCCTCTCAGCGCGAATCCTCGCACCAGAATTAAACAAGATCCACCTCTCAAATCTAAGTTTTGAAGCCGTGCAACAGCAACTATGACCAAAGATGGTTCGGTAGGGAAATCAAGTGCCTAAATGTGAGACATCATTGGCATGTCTTTATCTCACTGCACTGGGGGTGTTTAACGGGGTGGGCCTGGGGCTGGGTCGGGTGTGTGTTCAGTTGTTGACCCCTGTTATTGCTGCCCATTTTGATGTCTTCTTTAATGTAGTCCTTTGTTGTAGTTTATTCATGTACATTTTTGATAAAATAAAGGGGAAACTCAACAAACCTTTAAACGTGTGCGAAATCGAATTCTTTTTTTCCTTTCGAAAACAGCTGAAGCCTCGACTTTAAAGAGAAAAAGAATTCCATCATCACCTTGTCTTGCCTTTTTTTGCGTGTGCATTCATAGCCCCTTCTGCACTTTTCTCCAAAATGACACGCCGCACAGCTCACCCATCCTCCCCATGATTGCGCTCTGCAATGATCCACTTAAGCGTGACCGTCGAATCACGATGGTGCCCAGGAGAGCGACCCAAAGCTGTGAAATTCTGTCTGTGTGAGGCCTCTTATCGCAAATCACCTGTCCTTCAGATGTGTTTGGACCCAGATGACGCACGGGCTACGCAACACAGCGGGCTCAACAATGTGTAAATGCGAGGAGAATGCGGTTCGTGAGGTGCGAGACTAAAAAGGGGGGGAGAAAAAAAAAGGGGGGAGGGGGATGCAGAGTGCGTGGACACGTATGTGCGCGCTTCACATGGGAATACGGAGGCAGAGGCAGCATCAGGTGGTCCCTTTCTCCAGCTAGTAATTGAGGAGACTTACAGTTTAATGAAACAATAGCGCTGCCTCCTTACTCCCTCACTGCCTCCATCCTTTCCTCCCACTTCACACCACTGATAGGTAATGGGCGCGAGGGGAGATGAGGTGTCTCTTTTGAGGTGGCGTATTGCCATGGTCACACGCCGTCTATTTACACACAGTGTAGGCTTGCGGTGCGAGGTTGCATGGGAGAGAAAAAAGCGTGTGATCTAAAAGGGTCTGTATCAGTGTCTCACAGACCTCTGAGCTACTCTTGTCCACTCGGGGGGTTTCCATAGAGACACAGACAGGGAGCACTGTGGGCGCAGAGAGCATGACGGAAGACAGGGAAGACCCACACAGCAAATGAGGGGGAGAGAGATGAAAACAAGTAATAAGAAAAAAAAAAAAGAAGAGGTGGGTGAAGTGAAAAAAGAGAGAAAGATAGTGGTGGACGGAGAGATGGATGGATGTGAAAATAGAGCCGAGGATGGAGACGGAGAGTGAAGGGATGGGTGAGGTTATAGATAAAGCCAGGAGGAGAGGAGCAAAGAGGGGGGAGCTGATGGGGGGGAGAGAGAGAGAGAGCGTGGGAGGTTGTCAGGCCTTCAGTCACAAGGGAGTCACTGTGAGGTGGCTGCAGTGACGGCAGCAGTGATGTCAGAGCAGCACACACTCGTATGTTGGAGCACATACACACACACAGCTGCATGCACATCAATTTTCCTAATGGCCTGCCCACCCGTCCACCCTCAACAAACATTTTCTAACTCGCCCAGACAAAAAGAGAACATCACCCACACATCTGCCTCTCTCTCTCTCTCTCTCTTTCTCTCTCTCCCATTCTGTCTCTCACACTCTCTGGCCGATTTGACTTCAGGATCATTTTATAATCAACCACACAGGTTTGACTGATGCCTCTGAGCTGAAACAGCTTGCAGGCACATGCAGTAAAAAAATGAAAACAGAAGCATTGATTTGGGGGGTTAAGAGGAGGCTTAAGGGCTGGAACATGTTGCTCAGCCGGCCAGTTTATTACTGCTCCCTTGATCATTTTCCTGGAGTTCTCCGACACTTTCGATTCGATAAAAATGAGTGAGGAGATGTGCACTGTAACAGCAGCAAAGGTGATATACATTTAAGAAGAAGAATAAAAATCAACAAAAAAAGGCTCTTCCATATGTAGATATTCAGATTGTACACATTGCTCTGGATGTAAAAATAACAATATTGCATTGCGTGGATTCTTTCACGAGTACAAATACTGATAGAGAAGTACTAACACTGCACAGATTTGTCCGTAGGTGGAAAAATATTGATATTTCAGAGATACTTGCATGTATATATTAAAAGAAAACTGCATAGAGTTTCTAAAATGTACAAAATATTCATAATGCACAGGTTTAAATATCTTGATGATCCACCAAAATGACAGTTTTTCCAACTACACAAATCCACAAAATATTAATAACGCACTCAATTCCAGTCGATCACCAGCTTCCATGAAGTCTCATGTGTGATCCATGTTCGTTGAATGTCAATAAAACAGGGACAGAAATCGTTAAATAAATCTGTTATTAAAAAACACTTAGCGGAGCATAATCAATAGCAGAAACCATAATCGTCTCTGAGGCTTTTATGTGCCTTTTTGCAGACTGAATTTCTATTTCTGTGACTGATGAGTACAAGGCAATAAAATGGATGCAGAGTATTCACCATTCATGTTTTTTTTTTTTTTCATTCACTACAACCTCCCCCTTCGCCCCTGCTTCCCACATCCTCTCCCTTTCTCCTCACCCCCCCTCCCTCCCTCCACCTCACCCACTGTGTGCCTCCCACCCACCTGCTTCCTTGACTGCTATGACTCAGTCCTCATCCAACTGAGGATACATGAGGATAAAAAAACCTTGATGAAAAACAGCCAAGAGAACCGTTTTACCCAAAAGAAATAGAGCAATTGGCGAGGCAATTGGCTGCTGCTGCATCTTTAGCTCTGATGCGTTTCCCCCCCAAACACACACACCTCATTAGAAATACAGACACACACGCCGCCCCCACGTTCAAACTGATGCTTTATCCGTTAATTCATCCTTAAAAGCAAAAATTGGGAAGGCAGCGAGGAGTGTTTCAAAAATAGTTTTTCATTTCTCCAGATAGAAGTCTGTGTCGTCACGACTCGGTGACATGGATGGATGGTTTCTTAAAGGCGAACTTGCCAAACACGTGCCGTACATGGGGCCTGATTCGAGAGAAACCTCAGAGGAACGGGAGCTGTCGATCATCTTAATTTGTTATTCCACTTGCAAAACCCATCTGTGTGGCTTTATTGCTCGCGATTGTGCCACTTAAACTCCTCTCGCGTCCCAAATTGTGCAGTGATGCAAACTGCAGTGGGAGACAATCATCCGCCGCCGGTCCCCGTGGTATCAGCTCCATTCAGGAACCTGCGGGTCACCCAGACCTTACTTTGTTAATTATGCAAACTAAATGCGCCATAATGGATCATAATGTTGGCCATGTGACACAGACACGAGCTTACATAACAGGTGATCAATCAGGCGGACGGAGAGGCGGCTTTACAGCAGAGCGAGGAGTTTGGTTTGGTTTACTGAGACGGGCTGCACAGCTGTACATGCAGATGGCTGCTGTAAGTTATTTGACTTCACACAGCAGCCCAAGTGCCACTATACACCAGGTAATATATACATTTATGCGCCACTTGGCCTTGGATTTAAGTGAAAGTCATTGTCTTAAAGGGATTTCTACCACTTTGCCAGCCTGTAGACCACAAAGCATTTGTATAATGTATTCTGTGATTCCGGCTGAGCTTTCAAAAGTCAAAAAAGAAAAAAAAAATGTTGATGTCAAAATGATGTCATCAGGGTTATCTCAGGGTTATTGCTTGCGGAAACTTTTAAATTACCATTCTAATTAAGTCTATCCCATGTGGTGGAAAGCAACTGAA